ACAACCTGGTTAACACCAACAATGGGAATTAGGTCTAGAAATGAAAGGTCTTTAAAGTACATTGTGCTTGGCATCAATACTGTGGTTCTCTTCGCCTTCTTTTTACTTCCTACTTTGAATTGGAAAAAAAATCTTATCTAGCTCCATGGTACTTCACGTTTTGGATAGACTTGGAGGTTACCTTCTAAAGTTGTCTGCAAATTTGCGCATGCACGCCACTATGCGCAATTTTCAAACACAAAACACATTCGCTTCCAACACCTTCTTAAAAGGCCTCCTGAGACCTCAACAGTGGAGCAGTTTCTTCATGTCACAGGCCAGGAAAAGGGTACGCTTTATGTTAGGTCACATTACAGCTTCAATAGGGGAGTGAGAAACACACAGCAGTGATTTTGGCAGTGATTTTCAGAGTGTGGTCTGTAGGATTACTGAGGTGTTTTAGTAATTTTACAAATATTTGATTAAAATGCCATTTTAAAGCAGAAGTAAAAATCACTTAGAAACAAAATGGAGAAATGAAATAAATGCAGATCCTCAAGACAAGTGTCTCCTACACTCTTTACATTTTTCCCCCCAAAACCAGCCTTGTTGCTCTCACTTCATAATAAGTACATTTTTTACATGCCAATGTAAGGATTTATAATGGTAAGTTAGTGTACAGTCCAGTTTGAAAAATGGAATCTGCTGGTGAGTAAGATTACTGAGTTCGCTGTTTGCTTGCTTAGTGACCTTGGACTAGCAAAACCTGAGATTGTTAGGATTCCATCATATATTTTAAAAGCCAAATTAAGCCAATACTTTGCCATGAAGTTCATTCTAAGGGAGCTCTGTTGTTGTTGCTACTGTTGTGTACTGTCCAGTCGACTACAACTTAGTACAACTCTATATGAATAATAGTTCTGAAATTGGATCTATCTCATTGTCTCTGACACACCTGCCTGTTGTTGACCGAGGGTAAAGTATATTAATAAGCATTAATAAAGAGACAGAACACCAGGAATGTGTAAGTAAAAAAAGTGGTAAAGCAGGAGAATAGTTCTCGAACAACTGCAGCACTGATCCCAGCTTCCCTGTACCTTTATTGAAAATTGCTAGGGAGCAAATCACAAAGATAATTCTGTGCAAATGAATCTAAGCTCTTTCTATTGAAAACCTTATGCTTGACTGAGGAGGGAGGGGTTAGCAAATACAAGAATCCTGTAAATGTGTAACCCCCTAAGTGCTTACCCCTGTAAACTTTTAAGATTTACCTTAGTGCTTCAGGGTGAATTCAAGCTTTTATCCATGCCTTCCTCATATCCTGATATAGCATTTGGTTTATTATAAATATTTAGTATGAAATTTGGCTTCCCACACCTGCCCCCATTGCCAGTGTCCCCATTGTCATGATGTTGTTATATGCCATTGAGTCACCTATGACTCAGTGACTATATGCACATTAGCTCCGAACTCTGCCCTATCCGGATCTCCATCTCTCGTCGTCTCCAACAGACCTAATCCCATTTTTTCAGTTAATGAATGAGTCAACCCATCTCATCCTAGGTCTTCCTTTTTTGCACTGTCCCTCTACCCTTCCAAGCATGACGTCCCTCTCCAAGAATTGGTCCCTCCTGGCCACATGCCCAAAGTATGTGAGACGGAGCCTCAAAATCCTTGCCTCTAGGAAGCAGCCTGATTTCACCTTCTCTAGGACAGAACTGTTTCTCTTGGCAGTCCACAGTATGTTTACCACACTTCTCCAGCACCACAGCTCAAAGGCATCAATTCTCTATCATCCTTACTCATTGTCTAGCTCTTGGATACATACAAAGTAATTGCGAAGACCATTGCCTGGATCATGTGCACCTTAGTCTCTTGCCTTTTAGCACTCTGGAGAGGTCCCTGACATATTTCTCTAATGCAATCCATCTTTTGATTTCCTGTTGATGCCAAGAATGTTGATTGTGGAACTGAGCATCCACAGAGGGGTCAGCTATCAGTCAGAACTGAATCGATGGCAATGGGTGAGTGACTTAATAAGTACAGAGTGGAACTGCCCCATAGGGTGTCTAAGGCTGAAAATCTTTATAAGTCTTCCAAGTCTTTCTCCTGGGGAAGAAGCTGGTGTGTTCAAACTGCTAACCTTTTGGTTAGTAACTAAGCACTTAACTCTGTGCCATCAGGGCTCCTTAATATATCTTGGTAAGTCTCATGAAATCAAAGATGCATATAGCATCCTGTTCTTCTCAAGCTCAGGATGATTTTGTGACTATAAACACCTCATTTATTCCATCTGTGCTGAACTTCAGCCTAGATCAGACAGCTTAACACTAAAGTTAGGGCCTGCTTGGGCAGAGAAGTTCCATTAATTAAAAGAATGCTTAGCTTTAAAGTAATTTATGATGTGCATATCAGTCATAATTTATGACTGGTGGTGGTGTGTATATTGAAGCATTGGTGGCAGCAGAGAACACACAAAACTACATTTAAACACCTTGGCTTTGGCAACAGAAACATCTGGCTTTGCATCTCAGTTCTACTGTTTACCAACTACATGACTTTGACCAAATTTTAACCTCACAACCTTAGTGTCCTCAGCTGTAAAATGATGATGATCAAAGTATCTACTTTGTTGAGCTTTTTGAGAATATAATTTAATATATGTAGAATAGAAGTGCTTGAGCACAAGGTTAGATACCTACCAGATGCCAGGTATTAATTCAGGATGAGTCTTTAAAGGTTATAAAAACCTATTGGCTTCATATCGTTGATTTCACTACTTATCAGTAAAGGGTTGCTATCAGTTGATTTTATTCCAATTGACACAGTGTATGCTGGAATAGAGCATATTCCTGGGTTATTAGCTAAATTATAGCAAGGAGAGGGTTACTCTCTCTCTAGTCTGGAAGAAGACAGAAGGAAGAAGCAAAGCCAGCCAAGGCTTCCAGGGTGTATGAAGCTCAAATTCCCCTGGGAAAGTGAACAGACAGAGGTTCCAAGGGAACTTGGCATGGGGGATGATGGATGGGTGTTGTGGCCTCTCTCCACCCTTCCTCTGGACAGAGAACACACAGAGGAGCCAAAGATTGGAGAACACGATGTACCACATCTGAAAATGAAGTGCATACACACACTAAATGCAGGCAAGAACCGAGCCTCACTCAAAGAAAATTAGTAAAAGTACATACATTTTTATTTGATGTATGTCATTGGAAGGGAAGGACGCCTGGGGAGAAACAAACCTAAATAACTTGTATTAACACTCTTCATCCTAAAGCCCATTCTATTCTTCCTTCCTCTCAAGCAATTTCAACTTACTGGGCTATAGGCAGGAAGGTAAAGGTGGCTTGGTATTTAGAGATACAGAAACTCAAGGAACCAAAAGCATTGTTCTGTTGTGTTTGAGTAGAACTTTACAGTCAGGATATGGAGTTGTTTTGGGGTCTTCAGTAGGCAAGAAATACCTCACAAAAATGGAGCACGTCATCATTTAAAATTCAAAATAGAAATGCATATGCAACTTGACTTCTAAGGCAAAATGTTCCATATGCCTTTAACAAATTCTGGTTATCTGAAACGAGTGTAGTTCAAGCTTTCTAAAATAAACTTATGAGTGGAGTATGGACAAAAGAGACACTCAAAGGCTGGGAATTGACAATGAGTGATCCAGGTAAGGACGGATCTGGCTCTGGTTAAGGAAGCCACTATTATTGGGCTTCTCTAGTGAGTGTAAAGCCTAGAGGAAGTGTGACAAATGTCACCACCAGCCAGCCTTCCGGGCCAGAAGGAAGAATGCTAGGCTACTCATATGCAGGCATTTACAAAATGGAAGCTGCTTTGTAATGTCACAGCCTAAGAAACAGCAATCCAGAAAAGTTGGCCACCTCTTCCTCCTTCAGCAACAATGTACATGTTAGAAAGACTTGACAGGCAAATAGATTGAAATTTGAAAAAGAAAATGTATAAATTTATATAGGTATCCAACGTTGGATAGCATTTGCCTAAGGTAATCTGGCATTACAATGTCCAATATATTGTGAATTCCTTATATGACTTAATTAGTTGGTAATTTTAACTATGCACAATAGTTAAAAATATTGCAAACAGTAAAACAGGATGGTTTTCTGAAGATATTAAAAAGTATTAATTCTTAGGCTATTCCAATGGGTATATATAAAGAATTGCTTATCGAAATTTGAGAAAATTTTATTTAAAAATAAAAACTATTTAAAACTTGATATATGAAAATAGGTGAGAGAGAGAAACAAGTACTTTTAAGGTTAAGTTTTTAGCTGGTTTGAAAGGCAGGCCACAGTGGAATCATTTACTCAAAAAGGAGGCTAAAAAAGTTTAAAAAAAATTAAAAAAGAAACATACCAACATTATCTTACAAATATCTTTATAATGGCAAGTTTGAAGAACTTTGATGGGTTAAGGTAAATTTTTTTTTTTAACTCTTTACCATTTCATCTAAGGCTGATAGATTCAGGCAGAAAATGCCCAGTTTTGATTAAGGATTATTGTGAAACATGGTTTGAGTTCAAAAAGTAAATGGACATTAAGGATACTTCCTTCAATTAAGGTTCCCTGGAAGTAAGGCACAAGTGGCCCAGAGAAGCTGGTCGCAGACAAGGTGGTTGCTTTCTGGATGCAGATAAGGAGGCATTTATCCAGCTGGGTATCAGGCAATGGTTACAGGCCCTGCTCATGCCTTTGGCCTGGATGCTCATAGAAGATCACAGAGAATGATCATAGAGAAAATCCAATGGAAGCCAAAGAAGAGGATTTAATCTACCACATAATGACCTAAAAATAAGAACTGCAAAATATTTTAAAGAGTAAAATATGCCTTATATCAACCACCAATCTATTTCTTCTCTCAGTATTCACAAGTGAAAAATTCTTCCATCTGTTTTAATAATCACTACACACTCTAAGAACACCAAATTCAAGATATGAAATAGGAAAGGGAGAGAGAAAACTCAAGTTTCCCTACTCTTCTCTCTGTTTATGGGTCAAAAGCTAATTTGGTCCTCTACATCATTCCTTCATAAGGGAAATTCTTATTTCCACCTTGGCCTATGTGACTCAATGTTTTGCCCCCACAATGCCTTGCAGCATGTCTATGGGCAGAGGGAAGACAATTGTGGAGTTTTTCTCAGCAGCAATGGTGGTCAGTGTCTGAAGGTATCGCAGCTGAAGGGCTGCAGGAGATTCCGTGATGACAATAGAAGCTTCTTTGAGAGCTCTGGAGGCATTCATTTCTCCCTCAGCAGCAATCACCTGTGGAGCAACAGAGGAGAGAAATTGGAGAAAGCTGCATAGCGTAGGCATAGCACAGCAATTTTCGATCTATGAGATGTGTACTTCAGGTGGAACTTTGTTTGCTTCTGCTCTTTTCCCTAAATGTGATTTATCTAAGTGAGTACGTAAAGTCCAGATAATCTCTTCTATTATGATCCTTCTCCCACTTCTCAGGATACCAAATAAAAAAGCAATCCAAAATAAGTGCTGAGAAAGGGAGTGACTCTGATGATTGGGTACAAATCCTTTTGTAAGTTATCTAGATTTTCAATTCTTTGATTTCAAAGAACGAGATCTTATTGAATGTAAAACTAAACGATCTTTAAAATATTTCTTGATGAAAGATTATTGAAATAGACCATATACCAGTTATTATTCTCAGAACATTGCATGATATCAAGCGGAAATTTCCATTTCCATCTATTTATAAGGGAACTCTTTGCTTTGGGTAAGTCTGCTGTTAAGAGACCTCACCAAAGTACTGAGGAGCAAGTCTTGAGACTAAGGTGCACCTGATCCAGGCCATAGTCTTTGCAATTATTTGCTACACATCAGAAAGCTGGTCAATGACCAGGGAGGATAGAAGGAGAACTGAGCTGTGGTTCTGGAGAAAAGTATTGAATATACCATGAACTGCTAGGAGAACAAACAAGTTCGTCCTAGAGAGGGTAAGGCCAGACTGCTCCTTGGAGGCAAGGATTCTGAAGCTTCATGTGACATACTTTGAACATGTTGCAAGGAGGGACAAGTCCTTGGAGAGGTAGTCATGCTTGGGAGGGTAGAGGGATAGTGCAAGAGAGGAAGAACCTTTATGAGACGGATAGATTCAGTGGCTGAGGTAATGGAGGTAGGTGTGTCAGAGACAATAAGATTGGCACAGGATAGGGCAGGGTTTAGGACTGTTGTATATAGGGTCACTATGAGTTGCAGGCGACTTGATGCACACAACAACAACAACATTAGGGAACTCTAGTGGCCTAGTTAGTTGACTAAGGAGTTAGTTGTGCAGGCAGTTTGAATCCACAAGCTGATCTGCAGGAGAAAAATGGCCAATTTCTTGTGGAATTCAAAGCCTCTGAAAACCTGTTAACCTGCTGGAGGGTCAGCCATGAGTCAGTTTCGATAAGGGTGTTCTGGTTGTTTTTTTTTTTTTAAGTTTGTAAAGAAATAAGGGGGGAAAAAACCCCACCCACCAAACAAACCCCACCACCCCAAATTAAACCAAAGCGTTTCCATCACCACCGAGTTCATCCCCACTTATGGCGACCCTACATGGCAGTCAGAGCTGTCCCAGGAGCATTCCATTCTTGTCATTTTTATGGAAGCAAGTTGCCACCTTTTTCTCACATGCCGTAGCTAAGGAAAGGGCTACAGGACATGGCCATTACTGAGAGAAAGAACTCCACTTAGAAGATCAAAAAGCCTTCATTAATGAAGGCAAACTTCTTCCCGAGAAGGAAAAAGTACCATATATGCTCAAAGAGAACAAGGGCCTGTACCGTCAGGCAAGCAGTGCAGAGCGGGCAACAATAACCCCCTGGCACGAGAACAACAGGCTCTGATTTCTTTTCCATGTCCTCTCAGATGTCCAATTAGGCACTTTCTTATCTGGTCATGGACCAACTGCAAAGGTACCTCACCTCACCCTACTAATCAATACACAATCTCTTGACTGGGAAGCCAGACCTACCAGCTGGGCACACAATTTGTTAACAGAAAAGCTGCTCTGAGCAAGCTGTCAAAGATGTGAAAACACCAACTGACTCTGTCTAAATATAGGTCAAGTGGATGCTGTTGAAAGGATTTTAGAGAGAAAAGCAAACGACTCGAGGGCATATGAGGGTTCTGCCAAATGTGCGGTAAGCCCACATCAATCAACAATACTTACATTTACACACCTTCATTTTTGGTTAGTATCAATACCACACCTTCATTTTCAATCAGGCGTTTTTAGGTATATGATAATGCACTCATGTCAGCTTTTCTCCTTCTGCAGACCATACAGGCCACACAGAGGGAAGAACAGGAAAAGGTTGATCTTTTACATTTTGAACAATGTCCATTCAGTTAATGGAAGACTAGGTTTAACGAGCTTTGGTGGTACTGTGTGTTATGTATTGTGTTGCTAATCAAAAGGTCAGTGGTTCAAGTCCACCAGCTGTTCTTTGGGAGAAAGATGGGAAGACTCCTTCTGCAATGATTTACAGCCTCAGAAACCCATTGGAGTGTCGCTGTGTATCAGAATAAATTCAATGACAGTGGACTTAGGTTTAGAAATAGAATTTTGAAAGTACCTGCTAGGCATTTTTCTGAGAATATGAAAAGGAAATAAAGAATAATACAAAGGCAAAAGATGGCCTATTTCAAGTTACTAAGAGCTGGTCTAAAAAAACCTTAATTCTTGGAAGAATCTGTCTTCTTTTGTGAATGACTTCTTTTAATCAGTATTATATTTGTGAACATTTACATGTAGACTGTTCATTCTCCTTAATGTACAGTATTCCCGTACATGAACAGACCACACTTTATCTATCCATTCAACCAGCTGTGAACATGTGAGTAATTTCCAATTTGAGGTAGTTATAAAGTGCTGCTATAATGATTTGAATACATGTCTTATGACTGCGGTCCCATTAGATTTTTAGGAGTGGAATTACTAGCTCATAACATATTCAGCTTTATAATCATTGTTGGACAGTTCTCAACATGGTTGTATTAATTAATATTCTTATTAGCAGAGTTCCTCCATCACCCACAATTGGATTTTTCTGGTTGTTTTCTTTAAAAATATATCATTTATGTATGCAGGTATGTCCGACATGCTAGTGGGTGTCTCCTGTGGGATCTGTTTGTGACCTGAATTTACATTTCCCTGATGGCCAGTGAAACTGATGAGTTTTTCCTCTGAAGTCTCTTCATCTGTAGGCTCTTCCACTATATCTCTCTTTTTCTTTGTAATTATTTGTTGAAGAAACCACGACTCCTAGTTTTCATGGACACATAAAAAACAAAGCATAAGCTTTACGTGTGTTGCAGGATTATGTAGCTTCAATGTTTCTGTGAGCTGACTTTTACCTTGAAGACACTCAGCCACTACTGTGCTCGTCAATGAGACTTTCTCGACTAGCCTTTGGAGTCTCATTCTGAAGAGCACGATCATCGAGAATTCCAAGGCTGGCTTTACCGCTTCTTGTCATTATCAATGGTAGACAGGAACTTTCTTTCCATGGTGGTGAGAATTCCCGGAAATCACTTCTTCTTTTTTAAATTATTGCATAAATTAATCTACTTTTTACAGGTTGGAGATTTTTCAAATGGTAGAGCCATCTACTGGTCTTCCAGTACTGAGGTCTTTGATGACAGGCTTGACCATGACAGAGGTGGTGGTATGGGTCTTGGCACCACCAGCCTCTGTTTACATGCAGGAACCACACTGCTTGATCCCTAAAACTCACCTATTTATTTTGGCTCTGGCAAAGAAGAAGTCAGTGTATTTAGCGTGTTGTTGGATTTCTTCATCTTATTCCAAAGGCATATGCCGTAACAGGCTCCATATTTACCAGTAATCCTGACCTTCTTGGTGTAGTGGCCATATTGCCACAAATTAGCTCCATGTCCAGAGAGCTGACTTTACTTTTTTCACCCGCATAGCAGAATGGCAAACAAGCTTCGTGTTGAGTGCTAAGTCTAACAGATGGTTGTTAAGAGAAGTACCATAGAAGGGATCTGAGTCTAAGCCCAGTGGAAAACAGAGCGAGGGCTAATTATTGGCATGGGACTAAGAGGGCGGAGCGTCAGCATCTGCGAGGGGTAGGTATTTGTTACCTTAGGAAGATAATCTCTAAGGACCCTTTGGCTCTGATGTTCTACATCACTTATGTATGTAAATTCTATTATTCAATACGGTTTAGAAATATAGCTTTTGGTTAATTATATATTCTCAGTAAAAGCAATCTTTAATTTAAAAAAGAAACAGATTCTACTAGGACATATTTGATGACATTATCATAAATAGAATTCAATCTTCTAAATCTGATGAAAGGAGTTCTGGTGGTCTAGTGGTAAGGAGTTGTGCTGCCAACCCAAAGGCACTTGGTTTGAATCCAGCAGGTTCTCTGTGGGAGAAAGATGACAATCTCTTCCCATGTGATTTACTGCTTCTGAAAACCCACTGAAGCGCCAGTCATGGGTTGGTTCCAATTCAACTGTACATAACAACAACAAAGTGACACTTTTGGTTTTGATAGAAGGCACTTGAGGGTTTTACATTATCACCAGATCATCATAAGCATCAATCGCCATATTAAAGAAGCCTAAAAATCATTATTAATAGAAATTCTGGAGGGAGCTCACATAAATGAGCTCATGGCCAATCCGTCACAAGTAGAACAGTCAATAAGCACCACCCACTACTACTTTCTAACAACAAAAATAAGGAGTTGCTTTACTTCTGCATTTTGGAAAATGTATCAAATCCATAGCAACTCCTCCTATGAAAACTGCCCTGCTCCCCCAACCGCATTCACAGGCATGGGGCATGAGGTTGTGGAATCTTATCAGTGTCTGAATTTTGCCCTTTGACCAAAGCTGGACCAGAGAGGATTTTTCATTGGTGAATGTGGGATCAAAGCCAGTCCGTGTCCTCTAGTGTTCACTTAGGGAAGACATGTAGACTTTGGCACCTGACTCCACAATGAGCTACATACAACAAGATGTAGCTCCATAAATGAATGGTTGGCTCTTTGAGACTTGACTTTTTTCTGCTTCCAACACTGGTAAGATCTGACTACTTTCTGCCCTCAGCTTGGTGAGAGAGTACTGTATCCTTATGTATTAACTTCTCAATAGATTGGGTTTTTTGTAAACAAATATTTAGGTTAACAAACATTTCCTCAGTACAGTGGTTATGCCATCCATACAAGGTTAAGGCAAAGACAAGAACTGTGATGAAAATAAAGAGGAAAAAAATAGCACGTGTTACAGCAAGAGGGTGAAGGAGAGTAAGAGGAAACTGGAAGAGGAGTCAGAGAGAAAAAAGGGAGGATGATAAAGACAAAAACAAGCAAGGAATGAAAGAAAAATGATGAGATGAGCTCGTCTAGTTGCTTTAAAGCCAGAACTTTTAATATGTCACCTAATAAGGAACGGTGGGAATAAATTATGGAACAAGCAGTCAGGAAGGACGGATGCAAATATATGAACTATACTCCCCGTGAGATAAACTGCATAAAGCACTGATACTAAATGCAAAAATTAAGGTACAGAACATGTGTACAGTATGACTCTACTTCTATAAAAGAAACAATGGCTCAACCCATTGCCCTTCAGTTGGAATAACTCCTATCTGACCCTCCAGTGGGTTTTCAGAGGCTGTAAACTGCAGAAAATGAAATGGGCCACCTTTTTCCTGTGGAGCAGCTGGTGGATTCAAACTGCCTGCCTTTAGGCTGGCAGCACAACTTCTTACCCATTCAGCCACCAGAGCTCCCCAGAAAGCCAAATAATCCAACAACTGTTAAAAGTGGTGGGCTCTGGGGAGACAGGATATAAAGTGATAAGAGAGGTTCTCAATTAACATTATTATTTGCAATAAGCATGTCTTACCTTTGTAATTTCAAAAGAAAACTCAGCAAGAAAAACAAACTGAGAAGAAAAAAAAAAGGTTACCTTGGCTCGGGCCTCCCGGGACGCCTCTGCCTCCGCAGCCATAGCTCTCTGGAGCTGCACAGGGAGTTTCACGTCCTTAATTTCTACACGCTCCACCTTTATTCCCCAGTCATCAGTGGCATCATCCAGGGTAGACTGTTAGAAAGAGAGAAGGTAAGTTACAATTGTTCAGTCCCAGTCCAGAGGCCTGCACTAGCTGTATTTAATGGTATTTGGAGCAGATAAGGTGCTTGGGGAGAGTTAGAGAAATAACATTTATCCTGGAGGAGAAAAAGGTTCCCTGAGTAGTGCAAAAACTCATTCAACTGTTAACTGAAGGGCTGCAGGTTTGAATCCACCCAGAAACTCCTTAGCAGAAAGGCCTGGTGACATATTTTTTTAAACTCTGTTGAACACAATTCTACTCTGAAACATATATCAATTTCATGGGAACTTGGAGGGTGGAAAAATTAGAAAAACAGTGAAGTAAAGCCTGGAGACTAGAGAACTGAGCCTGGTTCTGTCACTAATAGGCTAATATAAAAATTGCAAACTTCCTCAAAAAGGGCAAGATGATATTTATTTATGAGTCTGTTATTTTTTTGTTTGTTTGTGGTCTGATTATATATAAGCAGCCATAGACAATACATAAACAAATTGGATATGTTCCAATAAAACTTAATCTAGGAAAACAGGTGGCCAACTCACAGGACATAGTTTGTCAATCCCTGAGCTAGTGTGATTCTGTGTGAGCCATATTATTATTTTCTGCTTCAACTTCCTCCCTTTAGAATGGCAGAAATAAAATTGTTCCATCTACTTGTAAGGTGTTTGTGGGTACGAAAAAAGACCAGAGATTGTATCTTTAGTGAAGTCTACGCACAAATGATAAGAGTTCATATTTATAGTCCTTTATCTGTTTTCAACAGGCTAGGTTTAACTCAACATCTGTTATTCAGTTAAGAATGAAAAGAGTAAGAGTCACAAGGGAATAGAATAAAGCCTTAACAATACCGGCACAATCTATTTTAAACAGCATCCGATTAGGCTTGAGAAAATGTTAATACTAATTCTGGGGAGGGGTAGTAACAGTGGAGGGAATAAAAATAAAAATACATGCATCTGAAGTGTTGTTAACCCATGAGATACTAGTGTGAAAACATCTCCTTGTAGCAAATTTGGGGAAACCTTCGCTATGAAAACAAAAAGGCCAGTGATCCCTCAACTTGATTTAATAGCAGATTCTCAGACAACCACTGACCCCTGTGCTTCACTTTTCAACTTGCAGAGAACAGCAGCGCTCCTCACCTGCATGTTGTGTGCAATTTCTTCTCTGTCAGAAAGGATCTGAGAAAGGTTCTTGGTGCCCAGAACATTCCGAAGAGTAGTTTGTGCCAAAAGACGGGTAGCTGAGTCAGCATTGGTGATATTTGCCACGGCCAGGGTTGCATTCTGAACACGGTAATAGACCACTCCGTCCACGCTAATGGTCACGGAGTCCTTGGTGAGGATCTACAAGACAAAGAAGCAATTTTACTTCTGTCAACGACCTTTTTCTTTAATACAATGGTAAGAAATGCTATTCTGTAGAGCATCTAAAGACCCCAAGTGATTTCCTTTAGCAAGACATTAGGAAGCTAATTCTATCTTTAAATTTTAATAGAATACATTAATTCATTCAAACATTCAACAAATATTAGTTCAGAGTTCCTGTACTAGGTACCAGGGTATTAGGCTTGAAAAGAGTTAGTTACTATGAAGGAGCTGGAGGACTCAATGGAGGTTTTAAAAGGCAAGGGGCATGCAATTGCGAGTGGTAGAGGGGATACCTGTGAACTGAGACTTGAAGAAAGAAAATTTTTTTTCAGTGTGGGAAATGAGAGAAGAGTATTCTAGACAGAGGTCTCTCACACCCGTGTGCCATCTTATATTCGATGAACCACAAGTAGGGCAGTACTATTGGAACAACAAGTACATGGGAATGGTTTTACAGGGCAAGTTCAAGGAAAAAAAAACATATTTACAACAAGGGAAAAATACTGTATAGTTTTGTTTTGAACTTAAAAGGTGTGGGTGTGAGAGGCTCTAGGAAAACAATAATTAACTGCTCTGGGACTCAGTGTCCTTATCTGTAAATCAGAGATTAATATTATTATTTGCCTTAGAAAATGACAGCTAGAATTAATGAATTAATATATCTAGTCCTTATCTGTAAATCAGAGATTAATAATACTATTTGCCTTAGAAAATGACAGCTAGAATTAATGAATTAATATATCTAGGTGCATAGAACAGGGTCTGGTTCATGATAAGCTCGGCAGGGCAGATTTTAAGATCACTATTTTGTTATCTTTCTTGTTGTTTCCCATCCATTCTCTATACTTATGTCACAGTGATCTTTTAATATTTTGATCTTAATTTCAGTAATCCGGGGTTAAAATGCACTCTGATGACTCCCTACCGCCTTCCAGATAAATCCTTAGTGTAGCAGGCAGTATTTAAGACATCTGGCCCTGTGATGCTACTCTGGCTTCATTTTCCCCCCTCCCTCATGCCCACACAGCATACACATGTCCACGCCCCCAGCCTTCACACAGCTCTCTCAGGCAAGAGGTCCTCTCTTCTCTCTCATACACTGTTACTCATCCTCAAAGACATAACTCTCAGTTGTCTGCTTCTCTGTGAAACTTCCCTGACACATCCAGAAGTTGAATATTTATCCTTTTTTGCAGAGTCCGCACACTGTACTTTACGTTTATTTACATGTCTTCTCTACTAGACTATGTGAGGACAGGGAATGTGTAATGTAAGTTTGTATACGAAGCACCGGCAGAATGCTTGACACACAGTGATGTCAGGTGGTCAATAAACAGGAAAGGAGTTGAAGTAAGAGATGGTCCTAGGAAAGCAGCCCTGCTACTACAGTGGTAAACACTTGGTTGTTATAGAAAGGTCAGTAGCTTGAACCTATCAGCTTGTTCTGGGTTAAAGTGCTGTCAATCTGCTTCTACAAAAATTACAGCTATGAATATCCTACGAGGCAGTTTGACCTGATGGCAGTGGGTTTTCTGGTTTTGTTTTAGCAATTCTAGGAATGTACAAATTGGTAAAGAACAATAGAATGAGTTAGGAAGTCTGAATTGTGGTTCCTGGTTTGCCTGAACCTCCCCAAACAACCTCAATAAAAGCTTTTAGACTGTTTGACCAGGAGACTCTGCATTGTGAGATGGGGCTAAAATACCGCCTGAGTCAATACAATTTCTGCCAAGGTTAAATAAGATATTTGTGAATATCTTTTAAGAAACCAACAATGTTATTATGTGGCTGATCAACACTGTCAGGCATGAAAGCAGTTAATTTCTTTTTTTTAAAAAAAATTAATCTAAAAATACTTCTAATTAGGAAGAGAAGTGAGGGATGTGTAAATAAATGTGCAGTCTGCTATAATCTAGTGTGAAAATGAATCATTTCCCATGATGTGATGAGAAAATGTGTATCATTCCCATCATTCCTAGACAAATTCCTGCCTTTGTGACAGCCACAGCTCCAGCTCCCTAAAGCCACAGCCGCTCTGCCTGCTGTTTATTGCAGGCAGGGCGTTTGCTTCTTTCCATCCACAGAAGATCGGAGCAGGGATTGGGTGCCAAGTTCTACAGCTTGCAGGAAAGGAGAGTGCAGCTGGAAGGCAGAAGCTTACAGCAACTCTGCCAGCCAGCTGCCTACAATGTTTACTGAGGAAAGTGCCAGAGAGTCCCAGTTAGGCTGAAAGGGGCCTCTTCTGAGAGACAGTCTTCGTCAAAAGATCAGAAAACACACAGAAAATACAGCAACACACTTTAGTTTTCGTTTGCTGTGGATTAAAAATGAATTCTGTCATCAATAAAAACTTTAAAGTTTGAAGTCACCAATAACTTGGATTGGTACCAGCAAGGAAATTCCTGAGCTGATTTCTGAATTTTGTGATAAGAGAAGGCAACAAAACCAGGCTCCACTATTCTGCTGATCACCTGGCCTTTGGCCAGGAAATAATGACAGTATGTTTTTTGTCTCCCACTTCATCAATGGCTGTTATATGTCCTAAAACACAAGTATGAGATGGCTATCATTTCTTCCAGCATGTAATGGAACTAGTCTAGGATACAGTAAGCATAAAGCTGTGGGACAACTACTTAGAGGAGAGTTTCAAGAGCTGAACAATAGTCCTGGCTCTGTCACCAGAGTTTGGAGAAATTCCTTTGTCTCACTGCCTCTGTACTCTTTTTGGAGGTTTTGTGGCAAGATTCAACTGCTGTGAAACTTTTTCAGAAACAGTGTGAAAAATCACAAAGTCATTATGAATATAAAGCATTGGTGGAGTTGTTGTTGTTGCTGTGTGCCACTCAGTAGGAACCAACTCATAGAGGACCCTCCAGCAGCTTTTCAGAGGCTGCAAATCACACATGAAGCGACTGCCATTCTTTCTCCTGAAAAGCAGCTGGTGGATTAGAACAGCCAGCCTTTGGGTTGGCAGTGCAACTCTTTATCCATAAGGCCACCAGAGCTCAAAGTATATGGTTTATCTGAAATACTAAGTGAGTAGTTTCTAATTCTTCTAACAAATGATTTAGAATAAAATCTAGAAGTTTAAGATAAAGGAATATTGTATCAATTAGTTATTTTCTATGAGAAATCCAGAGAAGAAACAGTAGTAAAAAAGGATCATGATGACAATGCTAATAAAATACTGGAATAATAATAATAATAATAATAATAATAATAATAATAATAATAATGGCACTTGCGACTTACCAGCCAGGGAGCTCTAGCAGCAGAGCCCAGGGCATGGGGAAGTGCATTGTTAACCTAAAGGCTGAGCTTCTCTAATGGTTCTAGTTCACCAGCGACTCTACTGGAGAAAGATGGGCAATCACCTCTTATGTGATCTGTGGTTTCAGAAACCCACTGGAAGATCCGCTATGAGTCAGTTCTGACTTGATGGTGATGAGTAACTGACCAGTCATTGTTCTAAGCACTCCACATATAATTTCTCATTTAATCTCACAATAAACCCTTTAAAGCTGGCCTTATTATTATAATCTCTGTTTTTCAGAAGAGGAAACTGAAGTACAGTTCTACTTCTCAAGGTTGCTGTCAAAAATGGTGAAGGTAGTCAGGCTCTGGAGCGTGACTATCTTATACTAAAACTCCAAATTATTGATGAGCAATGATGTCAGTCCGAGGAACTTAGGTGTGCCTGATTCAGGCCATGCATGGTCTTTTCAGTCACTTGCTCTGCTTCTGACAGCTGGAGAATGAATAAGGATGAAAGAAGAATTAATTATGCCTTTGAACTGTGGTGTTAGAGAAGATTGCTGAATATTCCATGGACAAATAGAACAAACAGATATGTCTTAGAAAATGTGCAGCCAGAGTGTTCCTTGGAGGCAAAGATGATGAAGCTTTGTCTTAACATGCTACATACTTTGGGTAAGTTTCTAGGAGAGGTTATTCCTTGGAGAGGGACATAATGCTTGGGAAGGTGGAGGGACAGTGAAGGAGAGGAAGACTCGCAACCAGGTGAATTGATACAGCACTGGGCTTGAGTGTGTCAGAGAGTGTGAGAAAGGCACAGGATAGAGCAGGGCTCAGATCTGTACAGAGGATCACTATGAGTTGTACTCGACTGGACGGTACCTAACACAACATATTAAATGACTACACTTATCCTGAGCTGCCTCTCATTGTAAAGCACTTCCACACATGCTAACTCTGTTATTCATAGCAAAGGACTGCCTTACCTCCTGAGGAGGAATATCAAACGAAATGGTTCTCATGTCCACTTTGATGAAGCTGTCAGTGCACGGCAGAATGAAAAACAAACCTGTAACAAAGGTATGTGGAAGATTAAAAAGAAATTTGGGCACCTAGTCAGTTCACTTCACTCAATTCTAAGAGATGCAGCCTTATCATGTGGAAGTCCCCAGTTCATCCTACTAAAAATGGGCCTCCTAGAGCCAGACGCTGGGAAGGTTGTCTCTGACTCTTCTGGCTCACTTCCCAACTGTCCCGACCTAGGCCTGTGGATTTCATTTCCTTGGATCTCATCACTGTTACCACCAAATCTAATTATCATTCTAGACCAGTGCAATTGCTCCTCATGCCATCTTTCTATTTATAGCTGATTGTCTAAAGTTCATTTTGAAAGATGCAAGGCAGTACAGTCTTTCTTAAAACGCAAGGTCATACATGGCCTGTCCTCTCCCTGGACTTACCTCTCAGCCTTCCCTGCCTCCTCACACCCAGGACTCTAGGTCTCTGAACTTCTTAGAGTTCTTTGAAACGGTCCTGCTCTCTTCCAATAGTGTTACTGCTATTTCTGTGGGAATGCTCCTCTCTGGCTAACACTTTTTCATGCCTTAGACTCTGTGAAGATGTCACTTTCAGAAAAATTTTCTCATCCCACTAGTTTGGGTCAGTCATTCTTTACATTCCCACAACTCTTTGTGATTAGTTCATTATAATATTTATCATGTGGGATTTTTCCCACCGGAAAAGTATTAATACTTCAGGAGAGGTCTGTGTTTTGGTGTCCCTAGGCCACCAGAGCTCCCTAACACAGCTGACTCTCCAGTGGGTTTTCAGAGGCTGTAAATCACACTAGAGGACAGTCCCCATCTTCCTCCTGATGAATTGGAATCACCTGCCTTTGGGTTGGCAGCTTAACCCTCTGCCACTAGGCCACCAGTGTCCCAAGAATTATTCAACTGGAACATTAAAAACAAAAACAATATTCCAAATCAAACCCACTACTGTCTAGTCAATTCTGACTTATAGTGATCCTACATGTTGCAGGTCAGAACTTCATAGAACAGATCACCTCAGTTTTCCTCCGTGGCAACACCGTAGAAGCTTAATCAAAGTTTGTCAAACGAATGACGGGGTGCCTTTCTTTGGTACTGACTCTCTTAGTACTCTTTCTTTCTCTTGCCCCCTCTGCCTGCCACTTCCTATTTCTCCAATTTATACTTTGATTGCATAAACTATTCAAGGATTGAGATAATCTTATCAGCGTAAATGGGAAAGGGAAGCGGAGAGATGAAAGGAAATGATGCTAAACTAAATCTGGCATGTACTCTTTTCCCAGCCAACAGAGAAAGGGTCCCAAAGGAAATCACAGCAATGAAAGGAACACAATTTCAGTCTCCAGAGACACAGTCCACGTACTGACCAGGTCCTTTGGCGCCACCTTGTAAAATGCGTCCCAATCTAAAGATGATGGCCCTTTCATATTCTTTTATGATCTAAAATGAAAACACACACAAACAATAATTCAATATGAGGAATAAAAATATTTGCATGTATAACTTCCTAAATATATACTACTTCTGCTCTAAACAGGATAACATCCATTAAAAAAAATAAATGCTGTGTTTAATTATCATCTCCACAAGCATGATACCAACCACTATAGGGATTTCTTTTCTTTTTTCCATTTTGTTTTGTTACTGTTAAGTGCTATCAAGCTGACCATGATGCACAGGGACCCTATGAACAGATCGAACCTTGCCATTCTTACACTCTCTGATATGCTCAGATCCACTGCTGTCTTTTTGAGAGTCTGCCTTTCTAGCTCTAATCCTCCACCTTTCTCCAGCATCATATCTTTTTCCAAGGACTGATTCCTCCTGACAACATGCCTAGAGCATGGGAGATAAAGTTTGACCATCCTTGCTTCTAAGGAACACCCTGGTAGCAGCTCCTCCAAGGCAGACTTGTTTTAGTGCTTAAAAAAACCCCAAAACCCTTAAAACAGACATTCGGGTTGGGGGGTGGGGGGGTGGGAAGAAGGACAAACTGGGGAGGAGGGTAGAGAAAACAATGCAACAATGAATGAATGAAAACCCAAAATCTCTGTAAATGTTCATTAAAACTAATAAAATTTAATAATAATTTTTTAAAAAGCCCAGCAAACAAAATTATGCAAAATTTGAAAAGTACAGCCCAAATGTCCAACTACAATGGAGTGGACTGAGAAATTATGGTACATTTATTTGATGGAATACTACGCAGCACTCAGGAACAATGATTTTGTAAATGACTACTGAACTAGGGAGGAACTGGAGATCATTATGCTAAGTGAACTAACTTAGTCCCATAAGGACAAATACTGCATAAGACCATTATTGTAGAACATGTATGAGGATCCAGGGAGGGGAAATGTGGGAGCAGAGGGGTGAGGATGGGCAGAAAGTGGTGTGGTTAATTATAGGGTTGTACAATTTGATGGATGAAAGGAGAGGTAGGTAAAGGAAATGGGAAAGATCCAGTGTGAAAAACAATATATGTGACCTTTTAAGTAAACCAGTATATAATAAAAATTTTATTTTAAAAAAAGTACAGACAACTTAATAGAAATCAGAATTACAGGGCATAAGAGGGGAAAGTATGCTTACACTGTAGGTATTGCAATTAATATTATAAAAGAAAATGTGTATCAATGGTTGACTGAAATATCTATTTGCCTTGTAGACTTTCACTCAAGTTACAACACACTATGAAGAAATTATAGTTGTTGTTGTAGTTAGATGCTGTTGAACAGTCACAACTTATGGTGATCCTATGAGTAAAAGATCTGTACCCTTGCCCATCCTGATCCATCCCCACCATCTGATATACTTGAGCCTGTTGTTACAGCCACTGGGTCAATCCATCCTATTGAGAGTCTTCATCTCTTCAAACGACCCTCCACCTTTGTTTGCCAGAATGCCTTTTTCCAAGGACTGGTTCTTCATAACAATAAATCCAAAGCATGTGAGATGAAGTGTTACCATCCTTGCCTCTAAGGAGCACCCTCGCTGCACTTTCTCCAAGACATACCTGTTTGTTTTGTTTTTTTTTTTTTTGGAAGTCCATGGGATATTCAGTACTCTAACTCCCACAGCTCAAAGGCATCAGTTTTTCTTTTATCATTCTTATTCATTGGCCAACTTTCAGATGCATAGCAACTAAATGAAAAGATTATTGATTGGATTGGGGGCACTTTAGTCTTCAAACTGACATCATTGCTCCTTAGAACTTTGGAGAGGTCCCTAACAACAGATTTTCCCAATGCAATTCTTTTTATGATCTCCTGACTGCTGGTACCGAGGGTGTTGATTGTGGATCCAAGTAAGATGAAATCAGTGCCAATTTCAACCCTTTCTCCATCTATCATAATATTGCCTATTGGTCCAATCAACCTGATACATCGCTCCTTAATTGTTAACATTATTGTTTAATTATACATATATTGGTTTTTTAAAAATTAATTTTAATGAAAGTTTATAGAGATTTTGGATTTCCATTCATTCATTGTTGCACTTTTTCCCCCTGCCCACCCCTCCCCCCCAATCACTCTTCTCTTTGAAAAGTAAAATTCTTTTATTGTTATACAATCCCCCCCACCAAGTCCATTCCACTATGCTGCCTTCATTCTGGACTCCTGTCATGACAATAATACCTAATCATATATCCCTTTTAAACAGTTCTCTCCCTCATCTATTTCAATGCAGTATACATTATTTATCCCCTCTTTCTCAGTCTCTCCCAACCCCTATGTCAGTCCTCTTTTATAACGGTGGCATTATGAAGTATTTGTATTTTTATGACTGAGATAGTTCACTCAGCATAATGTCCTCCAGGGTCACTGAGTTTGTATAATTTCGTGAGTTCCTTGCTTTTCAATATAGCATAGTATTCCACTGTGTGTATATATGTATATACTTGAGCTTCTCTATCCATTTGTTTGTTGATGGGCACTTAGGTTGTTTCCAATTCATTACTATTGTGAACAAAGCTGCAACAAACATAGGTGTGCTATACATAAATTGTTAATTCAGAGGAAAAAAATGTTAAGATCCTTGTAGTTTTCCTCTCGATTCTTTCAATTATAATAATTAGAAATGTATAAAAAATTCTTAGAGCATATGTTATCTTTTTAATACATAAATGTAACTTATAAAAATATTAAGATGCTTATAGGAAAAAAGAACTAGTATTTATGAGGCATTACTAAAATTACATTCAAACATAAATCCACTAGTCTTTACAGTAACTTATGAAATAGAGAGATACTGTTTTTTCTTTCATTTCATAGGTGAGGAAATACATCAAAGATAACACAGTGAAGAACAGAGCCACTCACTAAAGTTTGACCTTCTGACTCTGGAGAACTTGTTCTCAAAGACATCTCATAGATCCCTTACTCCAGAATATTAGGGATGGTGATCCTTACTTTAACCCATGGGGAAGGACTGAATAAATCATGGCTAAAGATAATTTTTCAGGCTCTGTTATAATAGATAATAGATAAAAAAGTTTTCCTAAAGAGAGATGGAAGAAGCAGAATCTGTCTTGAAAGAAGTATAGTTAGAGTGTTTCTTATAGGAGCAAAGATGGTGAGGCTTCACTTCATGTACTCTGGGTGAGTTTTCAGGAGGGGGTTCCCTGCAGGAGGATACCCAGGTTGGAAAAGCAGAGAGTCAGCAAAAAGAGAGGAAGATCCTTAACAGGATGGCTTGGCAACCAGACTGTAATAAGAGCTGAAGCACAGCAGAGATTGTGAGGATGGCGATGGATTGGGCAGGGGTTTGTTCTATTGTATATAATGAGGTTGTTGTGAGTTAGAGCCAGTTTGTGAGCATCTTTTTTCTTTTTTTTAAGTTTTATTATTTTGTGTGTGTGTACCGTCAAATCGGATCTGACTGGTACAGGAGAAGACTGCCCCTCCTTCTCAAGCAAAGCATCTGGTGGATTCGAACTGCGTACCTCTGGGATTGCAGTGCAGCTTCTTGCCACGAGGCCACCAGAGCTCCCTTGGGAATCATCTTAGCAACAACAATGTGGTCTCTATCCCCCTTCCAGTCAAAATACATGCACGAAGAGGAAACTGCAATGCTCTTTACCTTTATGCACATCCATATTGATATTGGGAATGTTATAACTGTGAATAAGAATGAGGCAGCCACCAAAATCCATCCACAAGGTCCAAGGCCTTTATTGGGGCTGTCTGTTAAAAGCAAAAACAAAAAATGATACAGTCTTATTATCACTAGTATGATCATCAGCATCTTTATCCTCACCATTCATGGACACTTACATAATAGGCATTACACAAGCCACTTTACTTGAATATTCCCATATACTCCTCGTATTCTTGAAGTTCCATATGTACTTTCCCTAATACACAGAATGTTATGCTGCTAACCCAAAAGTGGAGATTCTCTGCCAGTTTGAATCCACCAGTCAGTCAGTGAAAGACAGGCAATCTCCTCTCATGGGATTTATAGCCTTAACAGCCCACTAGAGAGTCAGCTATTGGTCAGAACCAGCTTGATAGCAATGAGAATTATGAGAATCTCCTTAACATAGTAATACAGGTATTTTCTATGTTACTAATTCTTTTATCCAGTGAACATTTCTTGAGCAACCCATTTATATTACACCCTGTGCTTTGCAATGAGTAAGACCCATCCCAAACCTTCAAGAAGGGTAAAGTTTAGGGTGGAAAATGGGAAAACAGATAATCACAGCTCTAGGTGGTAAGTGCAGGTGCAGAGGATCTGTTCAGATTATCCTGAAAACACAAAACAGCAGTAACTCACACAGTTGGGGTGGAAGTGAAATGGTGATGTCTGAGGGGCTTCTTGAAAGATAACAGTTAACTCAAATTCCAATATGTAAAAGAATAAAAACGGCACTCTCAGTCAACAGTACAGTAGCATTGAAGGTAAAAACCATCCAATAGTAGTATACCTGTAATATATGCACTATATTTATTATCCACTTCCTGATTACAAAATAGGTTGTTTCTGACTTTTACTGTTATAAATGATGCTGCAATAAGCATATTTGTGTACAGTTTTCCTGACTCCTTTCTAATGATTTCCTTTTTTTTGGTAATATGAAACAGAATCTTTTTTCTAATAAAGGTAGTGCTTGTCCCATTGCAAAAAGTTAATAAAAATGTTGAAAAATATGAGGAGATAATTATTCTTAATTCAGAACTAAGAGTATTTTGGTATATTCTTCCCAATATTTTTCTCATAAAAACACAACGTACCTTAAAATAATGTAAACAGCAACTGTATATAAAATTTTTGTACACTAATTTCCTCTTCTTTAGCTCCTTTATTTTCTTTTTAGCTTCTAGGAAAGCTTCTGGAAGCTTTTGCTTTGCTTCAGCTGATTTTTAAAAATTTTTTCTAGTCTTTTTTTTTTAAAATTGGTTTGCTTACAAAGTTTGTATTTGTTTTAGTTTTAATGTTTTAAATCAAAGTTATACTGAATAAAGTTGAATGAGTCAAATAGTTCCACTAGATTAATTTCAAAAAAAATGGAAGCCCTTTCAACCTCTTCCCATTTCTGTCTCCTAACAGGCAACTGTTTTTTGGGCTGAGCATTCTGATATTGATGTCCACTTTCCCAAATCATATGCTTGTATAGTTAAACGTGAGTTTTCTGGTTTGAGAATATTATAATGAATTCAATCATGCGTCCCTGAAATGTGACTGTGTAGCGTGAAGTGGCTTTCCAAGGCACTGAATTTGACTTTGCCATGTGGATGAGTGAGGATATGCAAATGGAATGTGTAAGCATATCCACAAGGAAATGGGAATGTTTCACCAATTCTCTAGCCTTAGCTGGTCTCACCTATCCACAAGAAGATTTGCTATTCTCACTATTAAACTGAGAACACTCAGCAGCAAAGTAGGGGGAAAAAACCCACAAAACCCAAAACCCAAACCACCTCACCACAAGCAAAGAAGAAGCAATGGAATGTAATGTGGTCTTCAGGAGCAACAGTCATGAAAGCCACAGTGGAGGACCAGAGACCTGACATGAGATGAAGCAGACCTTGGGCTGCTATGCCATTGAATCAGAACTAAGTTTTGCCCAAGTTTGTTGGATGACTGTGGGGGTGGGGGAAGAGCCAATATTGGCAGGATGGAGAACTTTGTAACACTGGCCTAAAGCCACAAGGCTCAAGGCTGATGTGCCTGTGAGCATGTTTTGGAAGCTGTCCTGACTACATTCTGTTATATGGAATATAACTTTTTTACTCCCCCCAATATGGTTCTATGTGGTCTGTGAGATCTCGCATCAAATTTCGGATCCAGTAAAACAAGAAGATTGGTGTTTGGATGAGTAGAAAGAGGTGCAGGGACATGTGTGGTTTCATAGGAATTGGTTTTGTGTTGTTGTTGTTGTTGACAGGGACTGTACCCCTTTGTAAAGTTGATAAAGGTCAGATATGGCTGTCTCCATGTGGCCCCTGCTCTTTTTACAGATTGCAACAATATATAAATGTAATGCAGAAGTTATGAAACAGGACCTCATGATCTGATATACCAAACAGTTAAGAAAGAGGACTGATGGTTAGGATGTAACACTCTTAATCCCATCATACTCCTGAGCAGATGTAAGGAAATTTCATTAGGGCAGGGCCTGTAATAACTTTTATCTCACATAAAAGGAGAGAAAAGCTAGGGTAGGGACAAGATAGCTACAAGACAGATGAGCTGAGAGCAAATAAAATTTCTGCTGTGTTTGCAGGAGCTGTTTCACAGTAAGGGGGAACTGAGTATCCTCTAGACCTATGTTCCTGTACTGAGAAACTCTTAGATCCATGAGACACACGGATAGAAAGCCTTCCCCTAGAGCTGGCACTCTGGATTTGGATTTCAAGTCTCTTAACTGTGAGAGAAAAAATTTGTTTGTTAAAGCCATGCTCTTGTGCTATCACTGATGGCCTAGTGGGCAGGGTGCTGTACTATCAACCCAAAGGCAAGTGGTTCAAATCAACTACTCCTCTGTGTGGGAAGAATGGGCAATCTTCTACTTTGTGACTTAGAGCCTCTGAAAACCCAATGACGGCTCAGCAGTGAGTAGGTTCTGACTAAAAGCTATGAGTCCATTCTGACAGCAATGAGAGTTAGTATAACGGTCTATTGACTTTAGCCTTTAAAAGGATTTATTGTTCTTTCCTTCCCCTGTCCTGTCATATCCATAAGTCCATCCACCTTATACCATAATTTCAGTTAGATCTATATCAAATTTTATATTGTTGTTGTTAAGTGCTGTTGAATTGCTTGTGACTCATAGCAATCCTATATACAACAGCTCTGAACCCTGCTCTATCCTGAACCAACTTCATTGTCTCTGACATACCTATCCCCATTACCCCAGTCACTGAGTCAATCCATCTGATCCCGGGTCTTCCTCTCTTGCACTATCCCTTTACATTCCAAGCATGATGTTCCTCTCCAAGGACTGGTCCCTTCTTGCAACATGCTCAAAGTATGTCACACAGAACTTCTGAACCGCCTGGTTTCACCCTCTTCAGGACAGACCAGTTTGTTCTCCTAACAGTCCATGGTATATTCAGTACTCTTTTCCAGCACCACAAACCAAAGGCATCAATTATCTGTCATCTCTAGTCATTGTCCAGCTTTCTGATGCATAGTGAGTAATTGCAAAGTCCACTGCCTGAATCAGGCACACCTTAGTCTCCAGACTGACACTGTTGCTCGTCAGTACTCTGGTGAGGTCCCTGACACCAGATTTTCCCAATGTAATTAATCTTTGGATTTCTTAGCAGCTGGTACCAAGAGTGTAGACTATGGAGCCAAGCAAACTGAATCTGTTAAAGACCTCAATCTCTTCACGGTCTATCACAATACTGCCAACTGACCCAGTGGTGAGAATCTCTGTTTTCTTGATGTTAAGCTTCAATTCATATTGAAGGCTGCAGTTCTTGATCTGCTGCAGCAAATGCCTCAGGTCCTCTTCAGTTTCAGCAAGCAAGGTGGGAACTCTGGTGACCTAGTAGTAAAAAACTGTGTTGTAATCCCAAATGCGTGTGGTTTTCAGATCCACCAGCTGTTCTGCAGGAGAAGGATGGGCAATCTACTCCTGTGCAATTAAATGCCTCTGAAAACCTGGAGAGTCAGGTGTGGGTCGGTTCTGACTTCAAGGTATACAACTATATATAAATGAGACTTAAACCCAAATCACCTCATCTAGTGAAGTATGATTAGTTTTCCTTTCCTGAATAAGTGGGTATTTTTTTTTCTGATGTTAAATCCACCCCTTACTGCCCCCACTTAGGTTTCAATGTAGAAGTCTTGTTGTTGTTATGTGCTGTCGAGTCACTTGTGACTGATACCGACCTTGTGTATAACAGACCTATACTTTGCTCTGTCCTGTGCCAATCGCACTGTCTCTGACACACCCATCCCCATTACCCCAGTCACTGAATCAATCCACCTCATAGAGGGTTTTCCCCTCCTGCGCTGTCCCTCCACCCTACCAAGCATGATGTCCCTAAGGACCGATCCCTCCTTACAACATGTTCAAAGTATGTTAGACGGAGCCTCAGAATCCTTGTCTTAGTCTTTTAAAATCTTCCTGTCTGGACTTGTTCTCTGATCTGGTCTACACAGTTATCGTTCTGTGACTGTCTTTCACCATCATTCTGGGAAATTCTCTTGACTTTCTGTGCTATGTTTCCTATTTTCTGTATCCAATGTCTTTTTCCTTTTCAGTTTATTTTTTCTTTTGGTGGAGGGTACAGGGACTGAGTAAGTTAATGGATAGTTATCTCCCCACCCCCATCCCTGCCTGCTTACTAATCATAGAAAGTGTCTGTTGTATTGCGGGAGCTGTTTTATGGGAAGGAGTTGGGCAAGAGAGGAAGAGATACATTAATCACGCAAGTGGCAGTAAAACAGAACTATGACTAAATAGGAAGCCAAGCAACAAAGCAGAGAGTTCAGGCTGAGAGAAAAGAAAAAGAGGAGTTTGTATTCAGTTTAAGCACTCTAAAACAGAGTCAAAACAAAACAAACCCCACACCACATTACAACAATCTCTTTCCAAATGAAGCAAAGAAGAATGAAGAAAACCTCACTCAAGGAAACAATGAATCCAAGACTAATCACATGAACTGCACCTCCACCAGTATGAAGCCAGAAGAACTAGATGGTTCCCAGCTACCACCACTGATTG